TTAGGGTTTGGGGTTTTAGGGTCTTAGCAGGTTTAGGTTTTTGGGTTTAGGGGTTTTGGTTTAGGGGTTTAGGGTTTAGGGTTTTAGGGTTTAGGGTTTAGGGTTTAGGGGTTTGGATTTAGGGCTTTAGGGGTTTAGGGTTTAGGGTCTTAGGGTTGAGGTTTCAGGGTTTGGGGTTTTAGGGTTTGGGTTTAGGTTTCAGGGTTTGGGGTTTTAGGGTTTTAGGGTTTATGGTTTCAGGGTTTGGGGTTTTAGGGTCTTAAGAGTTTAGGTTTCAGCGTTTAGGGTTTTGGGTTTAGGGGTTTAGGGGTTTAGGGTGTAGGTTTTGGGGTTGAGGGTTTAGGGGTTTAGGGTTTAGGGTTTTGGGTTTTAGGGCTTTAGGGTTTCGGGTTAGTTAAACATTAACAATGACATTAATGAAAATACTAATAGCAGAAATGCGTGTATCAACAATAATGGCCAAAGTCAGAATATTTTAGCCTTATTCATGCGCACAACAATCAGCACATCAGTGGGAATAGTCTTAGTTGTAAGAGTCGAGTATTTAATGTAATGATACAAAGCTGGCTCAATATTAGAGGCTTGGTTTTAGGGTACAATACAAGGGTCTTAGATTTCTTGTTGATTAGGGACTTAATGCCATTTGTGTGTACTTAGGGCAGTGCGCGGCTGTATAGGGTTGTTCATTAATAATATAACTGAGTTCAACTCTAGGAGGTATCCCCAAACCCTACAAAATACTGAGCTATGACCCTTCAGTTGGAGGATAGCACCCCTGAAACATTAGCTTTTTGGATATTGCCAGGTAAATCCCCAACCCTAAACCCTAAACTCTACACTACTCCCTAAACCCTGAACCCTAAACCCTAAACACCGTAAACCCTAAACCCTAAACCCCAAAAAGTCTGATATAACTGAGTTCTACTTATGTACCCTACACCCTAAGCCCTCAAGCAGCCCTTAAGAGGAGCTGAGCCTTGCGGGCTCCTCGGCGAAGGGACGCTGGAGCCGGGCTGGGCTTAAGAACCCTAAGCCCTACCTGTGGCCCAAAAGACCTGCTGTAGGATGTTTAGGGTTTAGGGATGTTTAATGTAGGGGCCTCAATACCTACCCATACCATTTTGGGGGTTACTTATTCTAATTCGAGTATACACCAAAACCATATTCTAATGATTAAGGCCCCTACATTACCTTTTCAAGGAACAAACCCTGCAAACCCTAGACCCTAAACCATAACAGGGAAGCCTAAACAGGTAGGTCTCTCGGCTACAGGTGGTCTAGGGTTTGGGAGAAGAGAGCTCCCTTAAGGGTTCCTTTAAGGGGGTTTCCTTCAGGGTATAGGGTTCAGGGTTTGGGAGAGTAGGGCTCGGGAGTTTAGGATTTAGGGTTTGAGAGTTTCGAACTAAACCCAAAATTATTTTGGGTTTCGACTTTAGGGTTTAGGGTTTAGGGTTTAAGAGTTTCGAGTATTGGGTTTCGAATTTCAGATTTAGGGTTTAAGAGTTTCGATATTTTTTACCAGCTGCTTCTTGAAATGCGAGCGGAGAAAGGCCTCTCCAAGGATGCCACTGATATCCTTCGTTCTCACCGGCCCCGTTGCCGGACTCTACTTGATCGTCGGAACCCTTGGGGTTCAGGGTTTAGGGTTTAGGGTCTAGGGTTTAGGGTTTAGGGTTTAGGGATCCAGTGAAGTAACTCGCTGGTTGCGTTTCCGCTTGCCCCGAAGTGCAGGTGAGGTTGGAGTAAATTCGGTAATTATGCTCCCTGAGACGGAGCCGGTCCTCGTACACCGGCCACTGGCTCAGATCCTGCGAGCCGAGCGCGGCTCCCCCGAACAGGTTACGGTTTTGGAGGCCATCAGGACCGGTAAGTTCCGGCCAGACAGCACCAGGCATGGGATGTCCCGGTTGGACTACGGAGTGCGTCTTGCAAGCAGCCTCGGTGCCTGCGGCAGCGGCTGTTGCACACACTGAGGATGATGGTTTATAAGGGTTAGGGCTTAGGGTGCACCCCTGGAGTCTGAGACGTTGCCCCCCAAGCCCCAAACTGCTGCTGATGATATAAACCCTGCATTACCTTCAGGACCCTAAACCATGGGAATTCTGGTCTATTCCTTATTATGGGTAATGCAGGATTTATATCATCAACAGTATCCCAAATTCAGATCCCAACGGCTTAGCGGCTTCGCAGAGGTTCGCTCACACTACCACACGACAGACGGGAGACTCGGCGTCATTACCCAGACCCTGAAACCCGAAGGGTGCACGTACCCATACATTACCCAAGTAGTATAGGGTTTAGGGTTTAGGGTTTAGGGTTTAGGGTTATATACTTTGGCTCCAAAGTACCTAGATAAGGACTACTTTAAGGCCAAAGCATTACATGGACTCTTGGGATATATTATGGACATGGGCCCTGAAGTACCTACATGGGGACTACATGAAGGCCAAAGCATATACTCTACGAGCACATGGACCCTTAGGGAAAGGTGATGTGGTGTTTTCTTTGGAGCATTTGTTCTATCCTTCTTGTCACTACAACCGCCTCGATAGCCATAAAGGACTCACGTTGGATATAAGATTGCGGTGTCCCTGCTGTGCTTTAAGGGTTGTAATCAGGCATGGTCAGAGACCATCTGTTCGACATGTCCTTAATTAGGCCCTCTGGCCGTTGTTTCATTGCCTATAAGTGTGCCGTTAAAGTTTCCTTCGAGCGCACTACCAGGATTTACAGTATGATACTCTAAGACCGTAGATAGTAGGAGGCGTTAAAGGCGTTCCCATGAGGACTGAACTGACAATACGTGCACTTGGACTCTTAAAGTCTTAAAGGGGCTATGCGACATCTTTCTGACTTCACACGCAGGTGTCGTGTACCTTTCCACTTCTCGCGATGGCTTTGCACGCCTGCTGTTCAAGCAGCCTTCAGATGTACAGGAAGCTTCAGGATTTGTGTAGAGCCTGCTCAGTCGTACTGTCTCCTCACAGTCCCTATGTAGTTATGTAAAGTGTAGCATACCCCCAAATTAAAATACTATTCTGAGCATTATGGCCTCCCAGATATGGAGCCTGAGCTCAAGGCAATCCCACAAACCCAATAAAGTAGGGAACCCAAACACTTCTTGAACCTCTAACCTACAGATTCCTTTAAACGCAACCAAAGCAGTTCTTGTGGTGTCCTCTCTCTTTGAGGCTCCATGTACCGATCTAAGATATCTACATACTAAGGCCTTAATGTACCTGTATCGGAACCCTTTTGAGGCCTATAAGTCTAGATTTATAGGCACATGGAGCCCGTAGGGAAAGGGAGCCTAAAAGGACCCCTTTATAGGAGCGAACCCTTGGGGTCCTCGTCCGGCAAGCTCGAGGAAGAAGTCCGAGCACTTGCGCGAGGGCCAGGTCTTGGAGCTGCGCGTGATGCCGAACAACGGAGTGCCTTCGTTCCTTCAAGGGGTTTAGGGTTTAGGGTTTAGGGCTTCTTTACTCCCTTAGCCAATGGAAGAGCTTTAAACCTTTCGGCCTTATATGTTGGATGTATCCTAAGAACCCTAAACCCTAAACACTTTTTGGGCCTGGCTGTTGAAGAAGATAGTTGAGGGATCCATACGGGTTAAGGGGTTTAGGGTCTGGGGTTAGGGTGCTACTTGGGCGGTCATGGGACTTGGCAGCTTCGCGGGCTCCTATTATTATAAGGGTTTCTAGAAGTATAGGGTCGTAGGATTTAGGGGACTTATAAGACTTATAGTAAGTCAGGTTATAAGTGCCCAAATGGGCTTATGAGTACTTGGAAGAAAAGGTTTTTATAGCAACGGAGCGCCTTGGGGTTTGGAGCTTAAGCTTTAGTGATTAAGGTTTAGGGATTAAGGGTTCAGGGCTTATAGGGTTCCTTTACATTTACTTAAAGGATCATGCGACTTAGAGACTCTCAGTCGTACACAAGATAATAACTATAACTTCTAAGTGCCTAGCCTCCCGATTACGGTTCAGGGTTTATAGGGTTTAAGGTAGAGGCGTCACTAATTAGAATAGGGTTTGTGGTATACTTTAATAAGGACCCCCCCCAAAAAAAAAAAAAACCTGTTCTAATTATTAAGGCCCTTACTGTACACCAGGCCTCTTGAGTTCTCCCTGGTTTCCTGTCGGGCGCGGCGCCTTAAAACCCGAAAGCCTTGGACCCTGAGTCGTGAGACTTAGACCCTTAACCCTATTATAGGGGCCTTTATTAATTAGAATAGGATTTTGGGGCCCACTATACCATAAGTTTAATCAGGAATTCCCAAAATAGTATTGGTAATTATTTTGGCCCCTACTACATTAAACCGTTTAGGGTTCAGGGTTTGGTATTTAGGATTTATGGTTTAGGGCTACGTCTCGAGTCTTGTAGATTCTTAGATGTAGTTGAAGGGAATCCCGTGAACGAGCAAGAAGCCCTAAACCCAAAGCCCTAAACCCTAAACCCTAAACCCAAAGTCCTAAGCCCTAAACCCTTAAACCCTAAGCCCTAACCCCTGAACCCTAAACCCTAAGCCCTAAACCCTAAACCCGAAGCCCCAAGCCCTAAACCGAAAGCCCTAAGCCCTAAACCCTAAGCCATAACCCCTAAACCCTAAACCCTAAACCCTAAACCCCAAGCCCTAAACCCTAACTTTTCTGTGGTAGCCATGGAGCCGATGTTTCTGCCGGCTTTCTGCCGCCTTCCTTGCGGCATGGCGAGGTCCTGCGCCGGGTTTCAGCCTACGGGATGCCTAACCCTAAGGGTCCATGTACCCAAATAGTAGAACATTGACCCTAAAGTACCTATATAGGGACTACATTAAGGCCAAAGTATATAGTATATGCTATTTAGGTACATGGATCCTTAGGATAAGGCAGACGAGGTTGCGCCGCAGATGCCTCCAGCAGCCGCTTCCGGGCCAAAAAAGCCTGGACGCCCGAAGAAGGTCGAGGTGCGAACGGTGGTTGGAGCCCAGGCCAAGTCGTTTCGCACAGACCTGGAGCGGCACAACCCTAAACCCTAAACCCTAAACAGCATTCCCAAATCAGCTTTCGCGCGGGTGTGCAAAGACATCGTGACTCGTGATGGGCGGGGCAGGACCATGACAGCAGGGGCACTTGAGGCACTAAACCCTAAACCCTAAGCCCTAAACTCTAAGCCCAAAACCCTA